GAGAGGGAGGAGGGTCAGAGGGAGAAGCAGACTCCCTGCTGAGCAGGGAGCCTGATGTGGGACTCGATCCCGGGACTCCAGGATCATGACCTGAGTCGAAGGCAGTTGCCTAACCAACTGAGCCACCCAGGCACCCTCCATCGTTCTTTTTACTGTTTACTGTTTGAAGTGAACTTTTTTTCCCTCAACTTCTCCATTTTTTTAAACTTTGTCTCCCAGTCATTTTTCTTTATCCTCCTGTGAAATTCCAGTCTGTTTGTAATGGCTGTAGACAATATATTTTTTTTAAGCTTTTATTTTTAAGTAATCTCTGCACCCAACATGGGTCGTGAACTTACAAGATCAAGAGTCGCATGCTGTACTGACAGCCAGCCAGGCCAGGTGCCCCTGTAGACAATATGTATTAATTGGCAAACATCTGATTCCAGAAAAGGCTCTTTTCTGTTGAGTCTGAGGAAGACTTTGGCAAAAAGTAAGGAAGGCAGGTTTCTTGCGGGGAGTTCAGTATATCTTATTATTTGCCTTATATACTTAACTGAGTAATATGGAAGTAACCCAGAATAAGCACTATACCAAAAGATCAGTGATGTTAATGGGAAGTGGGCTAAGGGAAGGTAAGCAAAGGAAGTTGTAGGGAGAGAATGGGAAGAGGGTTTTTTTAGGAAACATAATTAGCTAGAGCAGAGTAGCTTTCCTGTGCACAGTACAGGTAAACAAGCCTGGTAAACTTTAAATTTTCATTGACAAGAACCTGTATAAAAGGGATGACGGAAAAGTAACCTATCTCTGATATTCCTTGTAATTGTCTTGAAGTGCATTGTTGGGGCAGTTAATGTTCATTATGATATAATTAAAATTAGACGTTCTCTGCTGAAACATGTTCATTCCAATCCAGCAAGAGTCATTGCCTTTTCAGGATAGATAGAGCCAGGTTTGGAAATAAGAGGTGGCAGTTTGCCAAGAAATGTCAAATATTTCTTGGCCATGGGTGGCTTATCCAGGAGACTCAGGTCTTTTATTTATTATTATTTTTTAAGATTTTATTTATTTACTTGTCAGAGAGAGTGAGAGAGAGCACAAGCAGGGGGAGCAGCAGAGAGGGAGGGAGAAGCAGGCTCCCCGCTGAGTAGGGAGCCTGACAAGGGGCTCGATCCCAGGCCCCTAGGATCATGACCTGAGCCGAAGGCAGAGGCTTAACGGACTGAGCCACTCAGGTGCCCTGAGACTCCGGTCTTTTAAAGAAGACTTTTTTTTTCCTTCCATATTTTCGATCAAAGTTTTAGTGCCAAGAGATATATATTTGAGACCTGAGAACCATGAAATTTGCCTTGTAGAAGCAAAAGTTTATCACAAGAGGGAAATGTAGAGTTATTTTAATTAACCTTGGGAGCTTATTACTAGTGGCAGAGGTGTTACATTGAGGTTGAATATTATCAAGATGAGTCTTAGTTTAAAAAAAAGAAAAGGATGAATCTTAGTGAACTTGTGGCTCATTCCTTGCTGCTTAGTTGGCTGTTATCTGAGGTGACCCCAGGACTGGTAGATCAAATTGCTTTGGAGCTTTTGTTTCTAGGAGCATCTTTGTCTTTCTCACTTTTTCCTAGAAGATCGTTAGGAAAACTTGACACTTGCTAGGAAACAAAATTTAGTTTTTCTCTGGGATGTGGCTTGGTTTTCTTAATTGGCTTGGTTTAGTCCTTATGGAGGATGTAATAATAGTACTTTTTTGTTTGTTTCTAAACACTAAGTTTTTGAGTACTCAGCACTACTGAGATTCTCAGGAGGTGAGCTGATACTTCAGACATTTCTGAGTATTTTCATTTGAAGAACATATTGTGTCTCCTACCTGCAGGGGTATAGTTAAAATGGCTTTCAGTATTTCAAGGTAGCAAGGACCAAAGAGATTGCTTCAGATAGTACAACAGATAACTGGGCTGACTGTGTTTGTGTTTTGTTTTGTGTGGGTTTTTGCTTTTGCTTTTTTTGTTTTTCCTTTTAAAACCTCTGGCTCTCTCTGTGATCAACCAAGAGAACCTCTAAGAGTTAGCATTTGTTTCCCAAAAGTCTGCTTATATCGCTTTGTGCTCTGTGTAGGTATTATTGACACATTTATGCGGTAGTATTGAGTTGGGTCTCTGGGATTGCCTCTCTATGACCTGCCCAGGCAAAACTCCAGTTGTCTGAGTAATGCACATCCGGCCAGCCTCTAGCATCCCCAAATTATATGTGTACTTCAAACATTGAAGTCAGTCACACACTGCCTCTTAGTTTTTCATCTGGTGGATGATGTCATTTCATCTCCGACGGAAATGCTTCTGCTCTGAAAGTGCAGGGAGAGGCTCTGGTATTAAGGCCAACTCTGTTTTGTTCCACATACTGGGGGGAAAAACAACTCTTATTTTGGAGGTTTTTATAGTTTGGAAATATCTTTATTTCAATTATCTCCTTTTTTAAAGCCAACTCATTTCCCTCTGAAGTTTGCCTTTTTTACACTTCTCAGAATTATATTGATGATTTTTCCCTTCCTCTACATTTCCTCCCTCCCCTCAGTAGTGAATCTTAATCTCCTGTTGTTCAATAGTAGCAAGCAAATATATGGAGAGTCACAGTGGTGTTTTGCCAAGAAACCAGCCCCTCCAGTACCTTTTTCATTAGAAACACAATTTAGGGTGGGGCCAAGGACCAAAATGGAGTCCTTCCTTAAGACTAGGATGGAGTTACTCAGAAAAATATTCTGTGACTTGGTGTGATGATTCATTGTTGTATTTTAGCAAGAATCAATTGGGTTGTTTCCATTTTGGCACTTGACTGGTTCAGCTGCTTTGAAATTATTTTAGTAACATTAAAGGTTTCCCAGCTTATTTTCATAATTTAGCGGATCTTTTATATTTTTCAGGGTTTGGTATCCAGGAGATATGCTGAAATTAGGTTTCCCCGTTTTATAGGAGAATATTGATGTTCTGGAGGACATGAAAGATAAACCTCTTCAGAGAGAATCTCTTATATGTGCTGATGAAAGTTTGTTTCAGGTTGTACAAGCATCTCAAAGTAATATGTGGTAGAGAAAGAGTAAGTGTAGAGGAGTCATGCGTATTTGTAGCTTGGGATTGTCAGCAGTATTCTGGACATTTTCTTTTTACATTTTTTTCTTCTAGTATGTCTCTGCAGCAGCATAATATGATTGTAATGAGCTTGAGTTAATGTGTGGGGTGGGAGTGATGTTGGTCTGTATATGTGGGACTGTCAAGTAGTGGTTTACTGGGGAAAATGGAGTATATAGCAAAGAGCACAACAATAAAGTCATCCCTGTGTATCTCTTTTCCTTAATTGCTAAATTATTGATGTAATTATTTTTTTATATAAAATTTACATAGGTAAGGAAAAATAGATATCTGTAAAGTTAGAAAATCAACCTAATTCCACTATTCAGGATAGTTATACTTAAACATTTTGACATATAATCTTTTGGACCTTTTCAATGTGTATAAATAATGTGAGTGAACTTATAGGTAAGTGTTGTACAAAAATACGGTACTTTGTAATTTTTTTTACTCTTTTCCACATCCTATCCATAAATATACATAAAAATAATGGTTTATATATTCCATTTTATGGCTAGATTTATGTCACCAATCTCCTTTTGTTCATTTAGATTCTTTCCAGTTACAGTATCTATCCAATAATAGTTTTTATATATAATGCTGCAGTAAATATCTTTGTATATACATTTTTGCCCACTTGATTATTTCTTTAGAATAAATTCCCACTTCTGGGTCAAATTGTACATGTATGTTTTTAAGACTTCTTGCTAGATATTGCCAAATTACCCTCAAGAGTGGAAGACCCTCAAATAAGATGTACGCACGTTATTTTTTGAAAGGGTAGATGCCTGTATGCAAAGGAATTTTGTACCTGAAAATTTTTTGCCAATATGAAATCACTCCAGGGTGAAATGATTTGGCTTAACAGATTTTGTGACCAGTCTTGGAATTTTTCTGCCAGAACTTCTCCTCTTGTTTTTTGGACGTTTACCTAGAACTACAAAAAAATCATTTTACGTTTCACAGTATGGTGCTGGGGATCAGGTTAGGTCCTGTTCATAATTTTAGATTTCAGAGTTTTTTTTTTTAATATGCTTATTCTGCTGTAAGCAAGTAGAACCCCAGCAGTAAGTGATAACTTTCTGTTTTTCCTCATTTAGGTTTCAACTTTCTGTGCTGTGGGGTCAACCGTAAGAGAGGTAGATCTGATGTGTATCTGTGCTGAAGAAGCATGAGCTCCTTGCAGTAACTAGAAGCCAACTCCTCTTCCCCATAACAATTGCAGACTTTTTGTAGTGGTAGTACATGGCCTTCTTCTGAGAAGGCTGTGGGTGTCTTGCAAGCATTATTTGACATTAGCTCCCATTTCTCTCTGCCCTCCCCAAGAAAGATGCTATCGTAACACAGAAGTTTCTTTTCTCATAGTTCCACAGTATAATATGAATCAATTGACTACCTTTTGTCTCTCTCAGAGTCTTCCTATAACTTCATTTCCTTTTGTTTCAGTAAATGAGTCTCAACTCTTCTTCTTTTCCCTTTCTGCTGCATCTCTCATTTCCCCTGACCCTTCCCATCCTATAGATAGGTTTCATAATTCATAATGATGATAATAAGTGATAGTATTTGTAAGCATTTATTATATGTTAAGTGCTGTACATGACTTAACTTAATTCTCTTAACAACCCTATGAGGAACTTGTTATTTCTCCATTTTATAGATGAGGTAACCAAGGCCTAGAGAGTTTCAACTAACTTGTCCGAGGTTGCCTAGTTAGTAAGTGGTAATTTAGTATTCACACCTAGGTGTTCTGATTTCAGAGCCCACAATTCTGCCCACTATGCTATTATTGCTCCCCTGACTAATCTGATAGACTGTGTGTGAACTAACTTGATTTTAAACCAGATTAACTGTTTGTTATTGAATGGGTACTGACTGAACCAGAACTCCTTGGTGAAGGAGAGAATAGTACAGAAGACAATTTCCCCTTCTGACCTTGGCTCTCCTAGAAAAACAACAGAATTCTGAGCTCTTCTGTGCATAATATGTGGAGTTACTGATTCTTTCAGTCTTTTAGCAAATATTTTAGAAGTTAATGTGCCAAAAAAAAAAGTTAATTGCCAAGGATTGGTAACTGATTCTGCAGTCAATTCTAAGGTCCCTAAAACGAAAAAGAGTTTGTGTGTCAGATACCCTCTTTTTGTCCACTGCAAATTCAATAATCATAAGAGCCTTGTTCTTTTAATCAGAGCAAGTCATGGTCTCACATAACACCAAAAAGAAAACTTCAACCTGAGATGAATGGAGCTCTTTTTTTCTCTGTTAAACTTTCTCCGTTAAAGTTGTTGATATTTTATTACAAAGACAAAAAGGTACTTTCTACTAGTGAGGACCTTAACATCTATAAAACTGTGAAACTGCTCTTTCAAGAATCAGACTTGAGGGAGCCTGGGTGGCTCAGTCGTTAAGCGTCTGCCTTTGGCTCAGGTCACGATCCCAAGGTCCTGGGATCGAGTCCCACATCGGGCTCCCTGCTCAGCAAGAAGCCTGCTTCTTCCTCTCCCACTCCCCCTGCTTGTGTTCCTGCTCTCACTATCTCTCTGTCAAATAAATAAATAAAATCCTTTAAAAAAAAAAAAAAAAGAATCAGACTTGAAAGAAATTTCTGCTGATCTAGAATACAGGCATTTGGTTCAGAACAAGGATAACCTCACTAAAAGAAGTGAAAGATATTTTCCTACTATTTTTGCCAGTAACATTGATGACTATTGCCAGAGGAACAGATTGTCATTACTGTTAACTTAAGACTGATGGAGGGGGCGGTATCTGGGTGGTGCAGTTGGTTAAGTATTTGGCTCAGGTCGGGAGATCGAGCCCCACGTCGATCCTTGTGTCGGGCTCCATGCTCAGTGCCAAGTCTGCTTAGATTTTCTCTCCCTCTGTCCCTTCCCCCCACCCCCATGCTCGCTTGCACGCTCTCTCTTTCAAATAAATAAATCTTAAAAAAAAAAAAAAAGATTGAGAGGAATTGAAGGAGGGACTCTGCTCTTAATCCTCTTTCAGTGAAAATGAAAAATAGATTTCCTTGTCCCAAGGGAGGGGGGTACCTCAGGGAAAGAAAATATGTGTTCATATTGTCTGTTAGCAGTTCTGAGATTTATTTAGTTTTTAGAGCATTCTAGCTCCCCTGGTGCTTTCTTGGCCCACCTAGACTTTAGGTGGCCAGGAAATTGAAAACAAGATTGTTCAGAAGAAAGAGTTGAATTGGGGATTAGGAATGTGAATTCCCATTCTGGCTCTGTCATCATCTTTGCTCTGTGATTTTGAGCACATCCCTTATGCTTGTGCTTTTATTTATAAAAAAGGATTAGACTAAAAATCTCAAGGCCCTTTCAGATGATTTTTTTCATAATATAAATGGTAATTGATTTGTTAGCTTGACAGTGGGCAAGTAGCTTAATTTGTGACTGAAGGAGCTGAGTTTTCAACTTGCTTTGTTTAAAAACCAACTTTCATGGGGCGCCTGGGGTGGCTCAGTCGGCTAAACATCTGACTCTTGATTTCAGCTCAGGTTGTGATCTCAGGGTCCTGGAATCAAGCCCCGTGCTCAGCACGGAGTCTGCTTGTCCCTCTCCCTCGGCTCCTCCCCCTCCCATTCTGTCTGTCTCTCTTTAATTAATAAATACAATCTTTTTAAAAAATCAACTTTCATCAGCAGCTATAGATTTCAGCCAGACTGAGCTTGCCTGGCCAGAGTTTTTAAAAATTCCCAAAGTGAGAGGGGTGCCTGGGTGGCTCAGCCAGTTAAGCATCTGACTTCAGCTCAGGTCATGATCTCAGGGTACTGGGATCGAGCCCCGCCCGGGGCTTCCCACTCAGCAAGGAGTCTACTTGTCCCTCTGCTGGTTCCCCTGCTCATGCTCTTTTTGTTTCTCTCTCTCTCTCAAATAAATAAATAAAATCTTTAGAAACAAAATTACCAAAGTGAGTACACCCTTGCTTCTCTAGGATTTGGTTTGTTGTTGTTTTTGCTTCTCTAGGGCTTTTACATTTTCTTTCTGCAGAGGAACTAGGGTTCAGAGTTGCCATGGTTGGCTCTATATCATCTCTTGACCCACTCAAAAATAAGTTATTTGAACCATTATTTTTTTCTGATGCAGACTGTTTGTGATGGCTTCATGTCTTGCTTTTAGTACTGCAGTATTAGCTAGTTGTTTAGAATGTTTCTTGGTCCAGGACCTGTTAATAAGAGTCCCAACTTAGTGCAATATAAAAACAATGTCACTGTTAGAGCTTCATCTTGATGCTTCCTTTTACCAGAGAAAACCTCTCAGAAGCCAACTCAGATGAAGAAGCTTGATTATCCAGACTTGTTTTCTTTTCTTCTGTGGTATTTTTCCCCTAAACTTTTAATTATAAAAATTTTCAGACATACACAAAGTAGAAAGAACAGTATAAAGAACCTCCGTGTGCCCATCATCTAGACTCAGCAGCAATATTTTGCGAAGCTTGTTGCATCTGTTCATCTTAATTTCCCCACTTCCACCCCCTGGAATGTTTTAAAGCAAACCCAGTCTTCATCTGATTTCAGCATAAATGCTTCAGAATGTTATTTCTACAAATAAGGACTGTATTTTGGGGGGAAAGGGAGGTAGGGACTTGTGACATAACCACAGTAGCATCATCACATCTACAGAATAGTGGTTCTTTAATTTCTCCTCTTGAGGCTCTTGTCTCAGAAACTTTTAAACTACTTTTTTTTTTAATTTCTTCTTCTTTTTTAATATGGAACACTTCATGAATTTGCGTGTCATCCTTGCGCAGTGGCCATGCTAATCTCTGTATCGTTCCAGTGTCAGTATATGTGCTGCCAAAGCGAGCACTACTTTACTATTTTTCTAATCAGCATGCGAACAAGTTTCATACATTATATTTGGTGGATATATCTCTTAAGTACTTCATTTAATTGGTTCCCATACCCTGTAGTATTGTTTTAAGGATCAAATTAGCTACATTTGTAAGCTTTTAAAGTGCTATACAAATAAAAATTTTGTTAGTGGAGAGAAATACCCTTTCTACAAAGGTATCCGTTCAGTTTAATCTTGCAGCCAGTATTAAGGAGAATTAGGAGAATGTGGAGATGCCCAAGTATTGGCAAAAAATGCAGAAAAAAATTGTGAGCTCCTCCAGGTCAGGAACATAAAACTCTCTGTCCATAGTGCCTATGCAATGTTCCTGACATGTAACAGATTATCAGTTTTTGAATAATTGAATGAGGAGAGGGAGCAGAAATAATTCAGCATTGAACTGGTACTGAGAGGTGTTAAAATTGAGCCAATGAGGAGAAGCCAAGCTGTCAGCCTCCATACCCAGCTCCACCTTGGGTAGTGTGCTCTCTCTTTTGTAGCACATGCTACATTTCATGGTGTGGACTGATCATGTAGGAATTTTAATAATCCTTCGGAGTTTTGGCTTAGATGGGAGAGGCAGGTCCCTGATTTCTCAGGAGAAAGGTTTTTTGCCAAGTAAAGTAAATTTTAACATTAGAACTCTGCCCTATACTCTTGTTTCCCCATCCAAAAAGAGAATGATATATATGGATCGTGGATTTGGATTATAAGATAATAATATATCCTTATCAGAGAATATTTTTCGCAAAGATGCTAGAAAACCAACTTTCTGCTGAACAATATTCTGGTCTTTTTTATTTTTTTTAAGATTATTTATTTGAGGCAGGAGGGAATGAGCGACGGAGGGAGGGGCAGACAGAAAGGGAGAAGCAGGCTCCTCGCTGAGCAGAGAGCCCAAGCTACCCAGGCTCCATCCCAGGATCCTGGGGTCATGACCTGAGCCGAAGGCAGACACTTACCAACTGAGCCACCCAGGCAGCCCCAACAATATTCTGGTCTTATTCATAGGAATGAATCTCATTTCCCTTAAACATTGACTGGCTGGCATTACCAAGCTCAGTGTGGCCATGCTGAGTTAGCCTTCTTGTCTTTTCTCTCTCTCTTCTGCCCTCCCTTCTCCTTCCCCTGCCCTTTGCTCCTCTTCCTCCTCCTTCTGTACTAATAGGAGAAAAAGCTTCATTATGAGGTGAACAGGTACAATGCTGTTGACTCTTCAGTCTCATGGACTTCTCTAGTAGAGAGTTTCTCATTGTGCGCCTGGGTGGCTCAGTCATTAAGCGTCTGCCTTCGGCATGGGTCATGATCCCAGGGTTCTGGGATTGAGCCCCGCATCGAGCTCCCTGCTCAGTGGGAAAGCCTGCTTCTCCCTCTCCCACTCCCCCTGCTTGTGTTCCTGCTTTCGTTGTCTGTCTCTGTCAAATAAATAAAATCGTTCAAAAAAAAAAAAGTTTCTCATTGGCAGAGACTTGGACCAAGTGGTCCAGCCTTAGCAGATCATGTCACTCTGTTCTTCATTGGATTTCTGGACCACTTGGGTGTTAACAGCAACATTGGTAAAACTCTAGGTATTTTTCTCTTCCCTTCCATTCTTCTGTGGTAGGTTGGAGCTCAGATTTGTGCCCCAGGAGCAAAACTTCAGGCAAGGAAGAGAGTAATAAGTCTTAGGTCTTTTTCTCCTCCTCCTCCTGTGTTACTTGGTTTGATTATCATTATATATTTTTTTAAAGATTTTATTTAGAGAGAGAGCGTGTGCATGTGTGCACGTAAGCAGGGGGAGGGTCAGAGGGAGAGAGAATCCCAAGCAGACGCTGTGCTGAGCGGGGAGCCCCATGCAGGGCCCTGTCTCACAACCCTGAGATCATGACCTGGCTGACATCAAGAGTTGGAGGTATATGGGGCACCTGGGTGGCCCAGTTGGTTAAGCGTCTGCCTTCTGCTCAGGTCATGATCCCAGGGTCCTGGGATCGAGCCCCACATCAGGCTCCCTGCTCAGCGGGGAGCCTGCTTCTCCCTCTGCCTGTTCTGCCTGCCGCTCCCCCTGCTTGTGCGTGCTCTCTGACAAATAAAATCTTAAAAAAAAAAAAGAGTCGAGGCTTAATCCACTCAGCCACCCAGGTGCCCTTCTTCATCATCATCATCATCATCATCATCGTCATCATTTAGATCCTGTTACCGTTTTAACTGCTTCAGCCATAAGTGTCCTTGGGATTAATCCCAGCTTTGCAGTTGCTGATAGCTAAGCAATTGGCACCAAAATTCCACTGAGTGAAGTCCTATCACCGTGGTTCTGGGTACTTTGCAAGAGTGTAGCAGCCCTAGAGCTACATGTTTGTGGGATAAAACTAGGAAAGGTAGCAAAGTAGAGCTTTTCAGGGAGGTATAGGGCTTTCTTACTAACTCTGTGCCTTGAAATCACTTACCTGCCTCTTTTTCCCCCATTGTTTAACTTTATCTAGTGACTACTTATGTACAGAGAACGTTATTTTCTAGATAAGACTGTCAGACTAGGACTGGATGTTGGCCCTTCTTGGTTCTGCCACATCCCTTCCAAACCTTTTCCTCTGTGGTAAAAAGGGAAGGGATAGGCCAAACACTGACCAAGGAGTCCAGAATCAGTGTTTGTCTTCTCAACTGAAAGCATACTGATTTTCTCAGTGAGAATCAGTGATTCTGTACTTGCATGTGTGTACTTGCAGGAGGGTGTGGTGGTGGTGGGGCCGCTCAGGGGTTTGGGAGGAGCCAAGTAATTTGAGATGCTAATTAAAATTCCTTGAAGGTCTAGGTAATTGCACATTAAACCTTGCTGTGGGCCCAACTTTGCTCTTGCTTTAGAAATCACATAAAAAGAATATATTTGTATAGCACATTATGGTCCATTTGATTTAGCTTATCACATCGAAACTTTACATAAGACTTTTTTTTTTTTAAGATTTTGTTTATTTGAGAAAGAGCGAGAGTGAGAGAGAGCACAAGTGGAGGGGAGGAGCAGAGGAAGAGGGAGAGGCAGACTTCCCGCTGAGCAGGAAGCTTGATGAGGGCTTAATCCCAGGATGCTGGGATCACGACCAGAGCCAAAGGCAGACGCTTAACAGACTGAGCTACCCAGACGCCCGCAAGACTTTTTTAATGATGTAGGCTCCACAATGTGGGGCTTGAACCGACAATCCTGAGATCGAGACTTGAGCTGAGATCAAGAATCAGATGCTTAATCGACCCAGCCACCCAGGAGCCCCTACATAAGCCTTCTTTTTTTTTGAAGATTTTACTTATTTGAGAGAGAGAGCACCAGCATGGGGGGATGCGTTGAGGGGGAGAAGGAGAAGCAGACTCCCTGATGAGCAGGGAGCCTGATGCCGGACTCCATTCCAGGACCCTGGGATCATGACCTGAGCCAAAGTCAGGCACTTAACAACTGAGCCACTCAGGTGCCCCTGTAAGGTTTGTAATATAGGTTCATTTTTTAGTTAAGCATAGAGAACAGTTTGCCTGGTCTAACAGATTTGAACCCAGGTCTTCTGATTTTTAAATAGCTCAGCATCTTGACTCCTGGCTAAAAGGTTGTAAGATATAAAAGGTTAGACCTTGGGGTGCCTAGGTGGCTCAGTTGGTTAAGCGTCTGCCTTCAGCTCAAGTCATCATCCCAGGGTCCTGGGATAACCTCGCATTGGGCTCTCCGCTCGTTGGGGAGCCTGCTTTTCCTCTCCCTCTGCCTGCTGCTCTGCCTAGTTGTGCTCGCTCGCTCTATCAAATAAATAAATAAAATCTTTAAAAAGGGCGCCTGGGTGGCTCAGTTGGTTAAGCGACTGCCTTCGGCTCAGGTCATGATCCTGGAGTCCCGGGATCGAGTCCCGCATCAGGCTCCCTGCTCAGCAGGGGGTCTGCTTCTCCCTCTGACCCTCTTCCCTCTCGTGCTCTCTGTCTCTCATTCTGTCTCTCAAATAAATAAATAAAATCTTTAAAATAAAAAAAAATAAAAGGTTAGACCTTTTTTCCTTTGTTGATGGACACCTTAAATTTTATAGTAAGTCAGTAGCCGTTTTAATCATAAATCTGGGTTCTCCTGGCTTATTGTTCCTTGGAATCTTTAGCTTGGGATTCTAGTACTAATTTAGCTCGTTTTTTACCCAGCTGAAGTTGATCTAATTGAAGATGAAGCATCTATAAAGGGTGTAGATTATTGGGCTTTTCTGTTTTTCCAATTTTCTGGGTCATTTTATGCATTTTTATGCAGCAGATCTTCCTAACAGCTAGATGACATTTCCATTGCCTCCTATTTTGGGAAGAGGAATGAAAACCATCTGTTCCCCATTTTTTGCTACCCTGACTCAATATAGGGAAGGAAATTTTGCTGTTCTGCTTATCGGTAACAGAAATATTTGGTCTGTGGCCTCTGTACGACTAAGGGCTATTGTTACAACCTTTCCTCTGAGCTCAGCTATATTCTGAAATTCTAAGGGCCCTTGATTATTTGTCTTAAACAATCATAATTAGAGCTTCACCTTATTGCCCTTAACCCCCTCATCAATAATCCAGTGTATACATACACTGGAACTGGGATCTTCCTGCTCAGGTGTTATTGAAGATCCATCCCATTAGGCTCCTCTTTTTAATTTTCTTTAATATGGCTAATCTTTATTCTCTTTGAATTCATTAGAATTAGATTGAAGGTATATATCAGTAGTCTTTGAAGATAAAAGTCAGCATTTTCCAATATGAAGAGTGGGGGGACAGTCTGTCTTCCTGAGTGGTCATGTGTCTCCAATGTGATCATTGATGAAGGTTATGGGGATGGCAAACCCTTGAGAATTGATTTAACCTTTCAGAGTAGATTTTCTACAGATATATTCCTTTAGTCACTTTGTAAACATATTTATCTTTCCTAAATTTAAATGGATAAAAGCCATAATACTTATGAGATTGAATCACAGACTTACCTTACACATCTGCCCTGATTAAGTATTTGGTAAGTAAAACTCACTTTAGTAAGTAAGTAAACGCCAACAAATTCCTGTTGAGTTTACAGCAGAAATCAAGATGAGGAGGTAGGGAGGGATGCAGAATCTTCATTATTTTGACATTGTAATTTCTCATCCTTAGCTGCTTTATCTCCATAGATCAACTCTTTACCTTTTTTCTGAAATAATTAATAGAGAAGTAAAGCACCATAGATATGCTCTGAAAGTTCTTACCTTTTTAGCTGTCCAGGAAAAATTACTAATCAAGCCCTAGACTCTCCAATGAGTCCTAGGTATTTCTTACACCCTTTCTCTTTCAGCCATGGTATCAAACGAGACCCTCTTGACTCTGATGGTTAAATGTATCAAGAACAGATATATTTCCTGGAAAACAATATGAAGAATTGAGTAAGAAAAGGGACTAGAACAGGAATGGAATATGCATAAGGGTTCTGTGAGTATGGAGGAGGAGGAAGGGATATTTAAAATCCCTATCCAAAAGGATTTAGTATCACAGAGCAAGAGGCAGGAGCTCATTGTCAGATTTAGTTGGACTCAAACCCCAGTTGTTTCAGTGTGCTTGATAGAAATTGTGGGCACTAGTGTGTGTGTGTACACTTCTGATTGTGTTTTGTTTATTCTTTTAACAGCATCAGGAATCAAGAGATCCATGGTATCTGAGGTGAGTTTGATACTGATACCATATTTCTGAAACTTTAATTCTGGGATAGAAGGATACCTGTTTATGACATCTTTATTTTCCCCCTACTTGGATCTTGGAAGCTAGGCGGGATTCTTACATCTCTTTGGTAAGCTAGAGATTATACATCTGCTTTTTTTTTTTAATATTTATTTATTTGTCAGAGAGAGAGAGCACAAGCAGGGGGAGCGGCAGGCAGAGGGAGAAGCAGGCTCCCTGCTGAGCAAGGAGCCCAATGCAGGACTCGGTCCCAGGACCCTGGATCATGACCTGAGCCGAAGGGCAGATGCTTAACTGACTAAGCCACCCGGCTGTCCCTATACGACTACTTTTGTTGTAGTTTATTATAGATATTAATAATAGGTTTGATTATTATAATAAATCAATAGTAATTGATTGAACATTTTTTTAATGTATCAAATGGTGTGTACCAAAGAGTAAATAATTTAAGTATCCTTTATTCTTACTTAATCCGGTAAACACTCCTGTGAGCTAAGTACCATTGCTATCCATGTTTTACAGATAAGTAGAGTGAGGATTAGAGGATTAGAGGTTCTGCAACTTGCCCAAGGTCACACAATTAATAAGGCTGGGATTAAAACCCACACAATCTAGCACTAAAACTCACTCTTTGGTTTTGCTGTTACTGCCTCCTGGTTGCATAGCTTCAGTGAATTTGAATAACTTCTTTTAACCAAACAGATGATGTTAGTTTTCTAAGTTTTTCTTTTCTGTGCAGAATATCTCCCATTTGCTTAACTTTCTTCTTCTTCAGTATTTCCCAAGCCTCTTCTTATTTCTTGCCTTTCTACGGGGTTTTGTGACAGGGTTTCAGAATGCAGGCCCCCTTTGGCCTGGGATTTTAGGTTTTTCTCTTAGAACCTCTTCCAAGATCTTTGAGATGATATGGTAAGGGTTTTCTGACATTTAAGGGCCTTAGCAAGAAGAGTAGAACTTGAATATCAGGCCCTAAGATCATGCACTCTATTTACACTGGCCTTTTTGCCTCTGGCTTATTAACTTAATGAGTACTGACATCATGAAGAATACCTTTGTGTCTTTTGTGCTTCATCTTGATGTGGGGAATAGCCTTCTAAGCTCCACTCTACTGGTATTAGTCCTTCCTTATTTCAGGGGCAATCCTGTGGGTGGAAAACAAAGCCATATCATGTTCCCAGGAATCTCTTCAAGACACCAAGGGCTTTTATCTCAGAGGAGTCATCTTATTGCCTTAGCTTTTTAATTCCCGGGCTTGCAGTACTTGTATTTGCGAGTGGCTAGATCATTTTTACTGGTGAATGCACTTTGAGCAGGTAGTGTTCATGTCAGGTTGAAGGTTAGAGGGGTAGAAGTTTCTGAAGAAAGCTGGTGAAAAAAGAAGGGGTCTGTGGAACTACTTTTAACCTGTCTTGCTTTTGTGAACTAGGTTTGTTCTTTTTTGTGGAGCAGCTGTTTCATAGTTCTTTTGTTTCTACTTTTCCTTAATGTAGCTCATTTTTTTATGTCCTTTTTTTTTAGGATCAAAAGTGAAATATGTGTCCCTTGGAATTTTCTGTGTTCTTTTAGCCAGTTAATTCATTGGGAAACAACACTAAAGATGTGTGGGTCTTGTGAAGATTTTATAAAATGTTCTTAACCTAGACGGGTGGGTTGAGTGTTCAGTTTGTTTTAATGTACCGTCATGGTAGCTGTATGGTGTATTACATGGGGATCATGTGCTAATTTTGACTCTTCTTTTTCCAGGTGCCTTATGCCTCTGGCATGCCCATCAAGAAAATAGGCCACCGAGGTGTTGATTCCTCAGGAGAGACGACATATAAAAAGGTGTGTCTGGGTGGAACCCTTTCATTTTACTCCAGGAGGGGATAGTTCTGTCCCCTTGGTATTATTCTCCACATTTTGTCTCATTTCTTGATATCCTAAGCCTTTGCACAAGAACTATCATAAAACTTGAACTTTAGAGTTTACTTTCAGTTCTGGACCACTTTGGGAGGTGCTCAGGCTTCCCAAGGGACAGTGTTCAACCTTTCCATTGAGCGTCTATACCTTGTTTGATACAGGGTGTGAAGATTTCTTGGATTCCTGTTTCTGGCCCACATAAATTCTTGTGTGTGTTTTCTGCCTTTTTTGCACTGTCAGGGACCTGACCCTCTCTGGGAATGGGCTCGAGGCCCTTGTCAATTCAATAGATATTTATTGAGCTCTATTTATATGCTGAACATTGAGACAAAAAGATTAGTTTCTAGGCTAATTGGAGAGGCATACACTTCAAAATCTAGTTTTATATATATATAATTTGGAGGGGGGGGTAATCTCTAGCCGGGCACCTGGCTGGCTCAGTCAGGAGAGCATGCGACTCTTGATCTTGAGGTCGTGAATTTGAGCCCCACATTGGGCATGGAGCCTACTTAAAATAAGTAAAATAATTTCTGCCCCTAATATGGGGCTCAAACTCATGACCCTGAGATCAAGAGTCATATGCTTTACTGACTAAGCCAGCCAGGTACCCCTCTAGTTATCATTTTAGTGCCTAATGAGTACTGAGTAGAAATATAAGTAATTTAATAGTTGGTGAGAGTTGAGGATGAGGGAAATCATTAGAACAAAACTGTCCAGTAGAACTTTCTACAGTGATTGAAATGTGCTATAATCTGTGTTATCCAATAGTAGCTACTAATCATACTTGAATGTGGCTGGTAAGACTGAAAAGGCAGATTTTCAGTTTTTATTTTAATGAACTTAAATAGCCATCTGTGGCCAGTGGTTAGTGTATTGCACAGCACAGATCTAGATGATGTGATATTTTCCCATATGATTGTAAGAGTGAGGCTTTTGAATTCGTGTTTTAACCATAGTGTGATAATTTTAAATCTAAACACTTCTCTCAGAAATAATTTGAGTCTTTCATGCTTTCTTCTTCAATTAGGAACTTTTTTTGCCACCCTGTCATCCTTGGGACACCAATCAGGCTTTCCCTTAAAGGACTGAAGCTTCTGTAGCCAGGTAGTCCATCAGAATATCAGTAAATTTTAGTTAAATTCTGTATTTCTTGAATAAAATGGAATCTTTGGAATGAGACTTAAGATTGTTCTCTCAGTACAACATACCTTCCAAATGTTGATATGGAGAGCGGCTTCCAACTATAGATATGGATAGGCAGGAACACCTTGCCTAGCTGAGGCTGACTCAGACAGTCCTGCCTTTGCTACTGTGTATCTTCATACCCTTCCAACCTTCACCAGGCTTAATTGCCATGTAAAGCAAGAGGATGGAGGAATTGGATCGCCCTGGCTTGGTCTGAAGTACTAGAAGGGCATTTGCTTTTGAGTGCTGCTTCTGGCCTTTCCCTCCTGAGTTTTTATTGTTCTGATCAGATTTTTTTTTTTTTTTAAAGATTTTATTTATTTATTTGAGAGAGAGAGAATGAGAGAGAGCACATGAGATGGGGGAGGGCCAGAGGGAGAAGCAGACTCCCTGCCGAGCAGGGAGCCCGATGCGGGACTCGATCCAGGGACTCCAGGATCATGACCTGAGCCGAAGGCAGTCGCTTAACCAACTGAGCCACCCAGGCGCCCTCTGATCAGATTTAATACTGGAACTTTCCTCTCGTTTTTCTTCTATTTCTCAGACAACCTCATCTGCCTTGAAAGGTGCCATCCAGTTAGGCATTACTCACACTGTGGGAAGCCTGAGTACCAAACCAGAGCGTGATGTCCTCATGCAAGACTTCTATGTGGTGGAAAGTATCTTCTTCCCCAGGTACAGAGGTTAATGTTCCGGGGAATGTCCTGGAAAGTGTGGCTTTTTCATATCAACCTCAGGCCAGTTTTAGGGGTTCAGGTCTAATTTAGGCATGTGCCCAATGTCCAGTCCTTAACTTGATCTTGGGGTGATGTGGGAATAGAGAATTCGGAGAGCAGATGCTGTCCTTTGAATGCTTCCATGAGCCTCCGGCCTGTGGAGTGAGCCCTAAAAAGCAATTCAGTGCAGTAGGTAGGGATAGTGTGATCCCCTGTGCCATGTCTTAATCCCCATGTAGTGGCTTTGTCCCACTAAGTAACTGACTCATCTAATCCCTCTGGTTCTCTCAGAAGGGATGTACTGACCTGCCTCTGGGTTACTCTGAGTGTCTGCCCAGGGTGGACTCCCTGGGTGACAGGTACTGATAAATTACAGCTTTTTCTATTTTAACCCCACAGTGAAGGGAGCAACTTGACCCCTGCTCATCACTACAATGACTTTCGGTTCAAGACCTATGCACCTGTTGCCTTCCGTTACTTTCGGGAGTTATTTGGTATCCGGCCTGATGATTACTTGGTAAGCTTCTGGTTCCCCCAGTATCAGAGGGATCCTCCCAAAAGAAGACTCTCTTCACAGTCTTGCTCTAATTTTCCTTTAGAACAGAATTGCATCTGTACTTAATTTCTGGTTGGACAGGCCCTGGTATTTCTGAACTTCTTGCTCTCTTCTTTCTGGGCCCCAGTACTCCCTCTGCAGTGAGCCACTGATTGAACTCTGCAACTCTGGGGCTAGCGGTTCCCTCTTCTACGTGTCCAGCGACGATGAATTCATCATTAAAACGGTCCAGCACAAAGAGGCAGAGTTTCTGCAGAAGCTGCTTCCAGGATACTACATGGTGAGGGAAGAGGAGCACTGGTCACCTCTGCTGCCCACTCCACTCCTGGACAAGGCTGGGGGGCTCTCATGGGGCGCCTGGGTGGCTCAGTCAGTTAAGCGTCTGCCTTCGGCTCAGATCATGGTCTTGGAGGTCCTGGGATCGAGTCCTGCGTTAGGCTCCCTGCTCAGTGGGGAGCCTGCTTCTCCCTCTCCCCGTCCCCAGCTTGTGCTCTCTCTCGCTATCCATCTCAAATAAATAAAATCTTTAAAAAAGAAAAAGAGGCTGGGGGGCTCTCTTCTGCAGGGCAACACAATGTCCACACTTAGGTCTTAAAGATGTAGTTCATTTTGGGGCTTTTTGCCCCATCTCTCTTGCCTCTCTGGGGCTAAAAGGGTTTTGGTTATCTGTCTTTTTTTTAAGATTTTATTTATTTATTTGACAGAGAGAGACATAGCGAGAGAGGGAACACAAGCAGGGGTAGTGGGAGAGGGAGAAGCAGGATTCCCGCTGAGCAGGGAGCCCAATGTGGGGCTCGATCCCAGGACCCTGGGTCATGACATGAGCTGAAGGCAGATGCTTAACGACTGAGCCACCCAGGCACCCCCCTATCTGTCCTATTTTAAGTGTTATTTGACTTAGACTGTCCTACCACAAGTTGAAATTCAGTGATAATTTTGTTTTCTGTTCTTAGTCCTCCTATACTAGGGAATGAGGTTGGTTACTTCTCTTGATAGTACTCTACTCCATCTTACTCTGACGGCTCTCGGAGCTTCTGGAGAAGTTAGTTTTGCTTTGCATCACACCCACAAGAATATACTATACTCTAACGGCTTAGAGTTAAGACTTTTTCAACATGATCTTTTCTTAAACCTCTCTAAAAGAATATACCCATCATATATTGAGTATCCTGACTGATTACTGTATTGGAGGGTCTGTGGCCCAGCTTGGTGTGATCTGATTACTGAAGATAGATGTATTGGGAAATTGTAAACAAATATTATGTGGGCTTATGGGCAGATAGATTGTACCTGAATCCCATATAGCAGACAAAGAAGGTGGGTGGCAACTTTTACCCTTGAGTTTCACTGAAAATCAGCTGACTTGCGCTCCTGCTTCTTTTTACTTTTGTGCCCTCAGAACCTCAACCAGAATCCTCGAACTTTGCTGCCTAAATTCTATGGACTGTACTGTGTGCAAGCAGGTGGTAAGAACATTCGAATTGTGGTGATGAACAACCTCTTACCACGGTCAGTCAAGATGCACATCAAATATGACCTCAAGGGCTCTACCTACAAACGGCGGGCTTCCCAAAAAGAGCGAGAGAAGCCTCTCCCCACCTTTAAAGACCTGGACTTCTTACAAGACATTCCAGATGGTCTTTTTTTGGATGCTGACATGTATAATGCTCTATGTAAGACCCTACAGCGTGACTGTTTGGTGAGTTTATCATATTTCCTTCCCTCTCAGATACCAAAAATCTCAGCCACTAAAACAGCTTGTTGTTATTAGGGTTCAAATCTGTATGAGATGGGACTCCGTTCCTTAGCTCTGTATGTCCCAGATTATTTTACTTAAAATAACTTTTACATTAGGTTGTTGCTGAGCCTTTATATTTTTTTATCCTGTTTATCCTCCCCCACCTGGCTTCATTTTCTTTACCTCTCCTAGGCCTCATAATCCTACAGTTTCCTTATTTTCATACCAGCACCATCATTCCTCAGATCTTGGTCCTGCCTGCCAGATTCAAATTTATATCTTGGAAGCTGAGTGCTGCTGAAGGAAATCACACACCTGTGTCTATTCTACCAACATCTCTACAGGTTGACGCTATCCAGCCTAAGTATTGTTCACCAGTCCACTTCCTGTTCCTCTCAGCACAGGTGTCACATGATTGGCACTCTCTCCAAACCATTTTCTAACTTTTAATCCCCCAGCCTTGTTTCTCAACAGACTACCTCACTCTTCTATTCCATACCACCCCCTTGCCCTGCTCCCAGCCCCAGTTTATAAACATGTCTACTTACCCATCTTTAATCTCCTTTCTGCCCAATTTGGTGGCTTATTCCATCCAGGTCAGTCATTTCTCAGGACTGTTTCTTTAGGGTTCTGTTTCACATCTTGCTTCCTTTCCCTTCCCTGGCTTCAGCCTTTACCAACTGTTTTCTTTCTGCATGCAAGCCAACTTTTATCTCTTCCATCTTAAGGTTAAGAGGATTTTTTCTTTTTAAGATTTTATTTATTTGATAGAGCACTAGCAGGGGGAGCAGCAGACAGAGGGAGAGGCAGAAGCAGCCTCCCCGCGGAGCAAGGAGCCCAGTGCGGGGCTCTTTCCCAGGACCCTGGGATCATGACCTGAGCCGAAGGCAGACACTTAACCAACTGAGCCACCCAGGTGCCCCTGGAGTATTTTTTTTTTTTACTTCCATTGTCTCCATGTAATAATGCTTCCATTTTTCCTTTTCATTTATCTTCTCCTATTCCTTTTTTTTTTTTTAAGATTTTATTTATTTATTTGATAGACAGCGAGAGAGGGAACACAAGCAGGGGGAGTGGGAGAGGGAGAAGCAGGCTTCCCGCCGAGCAGGGAGCCCGATGCAGGGCTCGATCCCAGGACCCTGGGATCATGACCTGAGCCGAAGGCAGACGCTTAATGACTGAGCCACCCAGGTGCCCCTATCTTCTCCTATTCTTGCCTCAACCCACTGTCATGGCTTTTGCTCTCACCCCTTCAGTTGAACTACTCTCCCTACTGCCCACCTGGGATGCCACGTAGAGAATATTTCTCAGTCCTTCCTTGCATTTTCTGCTGCTTGAAAGTTGACTATTTCCATTTTCTTAACATACCTTCTTTTGGATTTTGTGACACCTTTTCCTACTGATTTTTTTGCATCTCTTACTGTTTTTTTCTCAACTGCTATTGTAGGATCGTCTTCCTCTACTCACTCCATAACATTGTCCATCCTTGTCCTTTGCTTACTCTGCATCTACTTGTAGGGTAATGCTTATTTTAGTTTGGCTCCTTTGGTTGAAAGGACTGGACACAGTAGAATAGAGTTGTTTTAAGAAACTATACATAAGAATCACTCCTGTGCTTTCTTCATCCCTTTCTCCACCAACCTAGCAAAACACCCTTGGTTGAGCTGCATCACCAAAGTGGGCTACTGGAACTGGTGAGAGTATATACCCTTTTGCACCCTGTTCTGGGATGGAAAGAGGGTTGAGAACTATAGGATATAATCCAGGCTCCTTGGTGTGCCTGGGTGGTTCAGTTGGTTAAGCATCTGCCTTTGGCTTAGGTCATGATCACAGAGTCCTGGGATCAAGCCCCACAACGAGCTCTCTGATCAGCAGGGAACCTGGTTCTGCCCCTACCCCCGACTTGTGTGCATGCATGCGCGTGCGCACACACTCTCTATCTCTCTGTCAAATAAATAAAATCTTCAAAAAAAAAAAAAGAATCCGGGCTCCTTAATATGATATATCAGGCCTGTCATTATTTTGCTTCTATCAGCCTCTGTAATCTGCCACACCTGTCCTTTTTCTGTCCATTTTCTGTTTTAGCAGTATGAAATTATACCTCCCTGCACATAATGTGCTGTTTGTTTCATGCTTCCAGGCGTTGGAGTATTCCTTCCTTTATTTGTTTGGGCTTATTTTCTAATTTATTCTTCGTAAACTTATTTACGTATCACTTCCTGATCTCCTCCATACTATCAATCATGTAAGCACTTCTGTTGTTGCATGTATTAGGCTGTATTGGATTTATTTTTACATTTGTTTTCTTTCCTAAATGATAATATTGTTGAGAACAGAAACTTTCTTGAGTATCTTTGTATCCCCATAAACAGGCACAACACCTGCAGGTGGTAGGGCTTCAGTAAATACTGAACTGAATCAAAGCTGGTCATATAAAGTCCTGCAACACATATACTCCATCATGAAATGTACTTTTACCAGACCTTCCTTGTGGATTCTTTACAGCACAAATATGTATTCTACGTTCCCTTGAGAACATAATGCTCTTTTCACAAATAGAAGGAAAGAACAAACAGAGGGTGTTGTGGGCTAGGCAGTAGCCTAATCTGTATTTACTCAAATAGAAGAAATCTGAGTGAATAGAAATAATGAGTGACTAGAAGAGGTTAATACATTCTTCTCCAGGGAGTAGGAGGAGCAAAGGATAAGCCTATAGTTAACCCTGGAGGTCAAGAATAATTGAATCTTGGGGCACCTGGGTAGCTCAGTTGGGGGAATGTGCAACTCTTGATCTTGTGGTTGTGAGTACAAGCCCCACGTTGGATATAGAGATTACTTGAAATTTAAAAAAAAAAATTTTTTTAAAGATTTTATGTATTTATTTTGAGAGAGATACAGAGATAGCGAGAGAGCTCAAGTAGGAAGGAGAGGGAGAAGCAGGCTCCCTGTTGAGCAAGGAGCCCGACGTGGGGCTCGATCCCAGGACCCTGGCAAAGGCAGACGTTTAACCGACTGAGCCACCCAGGTGCCCCTAGGGATTACTTGAAAATAAAATCTTTAGGGGCCCCTGGGTGACGCAGTCAGTTGAGCATCCGACTCTTGGTTTTCTCAGGTTGTGATCTCAAGGTCGTGAGAATGAGCCCTGCATCGGCTCCACCTTGAGCGTGGAGTGTGCTAAAGTTTTTCTCTCTCTCTGCCCCTCCCCCTCCCTATGTGCCCCTCTCTGTCACTCTCTCAAATCTTTAAAAAAATAAAATCATAAAAAAAAATGAGGGCACCTGGGTGGCTCATTCGGTTAAGCATCTGCCTTCGGTTCAGGCCATGATCCCAGAGTCCCAGGATTGAGCCCCGCCTTGGGCTCCTTGCTCAGCGGGGATTCTGCTCCCTCTGACCCTCCCCCCTCCCATGCTCTCTCTCTCTCAAATAAATAAAATCTTTTAAAAAAATTAAAAAATAAAAATAGGGGGCGCCTGGGTGGCTCAGTCGTTAGGCGTCTGCCTTCGGCTCAGGTCATGATCCCCCAGGGTTCTGGGATCGAGCCCCGCATCAGGCTCCCTGCTCAGCGGGAAGCCTGCTTCTCCCTCTTCCGCTTCCCCTGCTTGTGTTCCCTCACTGTGTCTCTCTCAGTCAAGTAAATAAATAAAATCTTAAAATAAATAAATAAAAATAAAAAAAGAATAATTGAATTAGGAAAGCTGTGAGATCCTGAAATAATCCTCATACCTCCCAAGGCTCAGAACATGGTTTGTTTTTTTCCTTTCATTAGGTGCTGCAGAGCTTCAAGATAATGGACTATAGCCTCTTGATGTCGATCCATAACATAGATCATGCACAACGAGAGCCTTTAGGCAGTGAAGCACAATCCTCAGCTGACACTCGCAGACCAGCCCCCCAAAAGGCTCTCTATTCCACGGCTATGGAATCTATCCAGGGCGAGGCTCGGCGAGGTGGCACCATGGAGACTGATGACCAGTGAGTGGGCTCAGGGGCACCAGGAAGGAGAGCATAGACACGGCATTTTTTTTTCTTGAGGAAAGGATGCAGCTCCTGGCATCAGAGTAGTCCCGATTCAGCAGTTAAGTTGACAGTATTAACGCTTACAAAACTATAGAACAAGCCGCCTTAAGAATGTAAAAGGAAAGGAAGAGGGCTTAAGTTGGGGATCTGTAGTACATCTGGGAAGGAGAACTATTTAAAATTAAAACACCTTTCAAAAAGAATATATTCAGAGTTTTAGACATGTCTGCATATTCTATTAGAACTTCACCAAAAGTAATTTACTATAGGCAGCTTTATGGAAGGAGTCTTTCTTACCATCATGGATCTATCTATCAAGGAAGTGTATTTACTGAAGCATCATAAATGTCTTGTAAGTGGTTTCATTTTTAAGGTCGCCTTTACTGTGACTCTAAAGAAGAGTGTCCTAGTGGGTGTGAATTAGAATATGAAAGTACTGAGGAAGTTCAGAGTTATCTGAGCGTTTCCAGTGTCGCTGAGTGTGGCTTTAGATTTTTTGGTGGAATTGGGGTTGGAGAGGCAGGCAAGTGAGACTTGGAGAGAAAGAGGTTATAATACATACTCCAGAGTGGCTCTTGGAGTTAGAGGAAGGTTTTCACTCTTCCCCAGTTTATGGAAGATGGGACAGTTATGGTTAGGTCTCAGTTTCCTGCCCTGATCTGACTCGAGGTTAGGAGAAACCCTTGTGCTAGGCCAGAGATTTTCTTACTGTTTTCTTCTTGTCTTCCGGAACAGTATGGGTGGCATCCCTGCCCGCAATAGTAAAGGGGAAAGGCTGCTGCTTTATATTGGGATCATTGACATTCTCCAATCTTACAGGTGAGGAGCATATGGATCCCAAATGAGGGGGCAGAGTGGTTGCGGATAACCATTCACATTTCTCCTTTAGATGGGTTTGTCACTCTTCCTGAAACAGGAACAGAGTTGCATTCTAGCTGCTTACCTCATCGGGTTTCAGATGGTGGTTTATTTCCTTGATTTTGCCTGTCTCCTTGACTTCGTTACCCTGCCACCTTCCCAAACATAACGTATACCTCTGTGGAGAGCTGAGTCAGTCCTCAGAAGCACCAGGGTAGAATACACCATCTCTCTGGCTCTTTGTGAAAAACCTGGGAGATGAGTCATACTCCACATTGGGATACAGCTGGAAACATGTTCCTCTTTTCCTTGGAGGAAAAACAAGAGGATCACTGTGTCCTATGCTAACTATTAACCTATGGAACTGAGGCAGTGAAGTGATAGGGAGGAGCTGGAAATGCTAGATCCCAGTTTTACCCCTGTAAACAGGTTTCAGTTACTAATGACTGGACAATCCTTGGTTGACTGTTACAGAGTATTCTCATCTAGTTTTAACTCCCCTCTTCCAGGCATGTGCATCTATCCCATCATTTCTCCTTTTGCAATAAATGTTCTTGTCCCTGACTTGCCAGGGACATACTAAGTTCCCTTTTTCCATGGGGGAGGTAATTAACTTCCCTAGAAATAGCTTTGATCTCCATCCTGAACGAGCACTACTGTGTCTGTTCTTTGGAAAGCCAGTTTAATAGAGGGAGTGCTTTCCCAGCTTCTTTAACTTCATAAAAGAGAAAACTGTCACTCATTAAAAATTCTGTGACTATGTGACACACATTTTTCTTGGCAGGTTTGTTAAGAAGTTGGAGCACTCTTGGAAAGCCCTGGTACACGATGGGGTGAGTAGCAGTTTGCTAGAGGCTCTCCTCCTGCCTCCTTCAGTTCTGATTTGCCCCCTCAATTTCTTCTTTCTTTCTTATTTCATTTGTGGGTTCTACCCTTGTGCTAGGGTCTCAGCCTAGAGGAAAATGGCCCTTGGACTAAATAGTGATCCTCTGGCTGGGCCTCCCCCTCTTTAACTCTGCAGCCATCTCTTCTGCTCTGCAGGACACTGTATCGGTGCATCGCCCAGGCTTCTATGCTGAACGGTTCCAGCGCTTCATGTGCAACACAGTGTTCAAGAAGATACCCCGTAAGTGGCTTCTACCAGACGACCCCCCAATGACTCCCTTACTCCAGGAGATGGGTGGGCAAGACACCTCTGTCAGGGAACTGCCAAAACCTCTTCTGCTCTACCCACATCCCGTGAGAGCTGCTGCCCGCCTTTATGTCAGTCATTCTGTCTGTCCCAGTGGTTTCCGAGTTGCTGCTTTTCCCCTGGCTCTCCCTTCGTGTGTCATTGAGGTGAGGGGCATTTCTGGGAAATTGGTGGGATTGGGGGAGGGGGGAGGAAAGTGTCATTGTGGGAGTAGGATCCTATGGCATAGGCTGAGATAGAGCCAGACTTACAGACAGATAGGTGAGGATGTTACCAGTGTTCTGTTTTCTCTTCATATCCCCAGTGCCAAGGACTTCCCAGACTAGGATCACAGGGTTGGAGAAGCATATACTGCTTTCTGCTTAGCAGTCGTTCTTACTCTCTTCCCTCAACTTTCTTGGTTGGAAGGTGCCAGTATTCTTCTTTCCCAGCCTTCCACTGGTGCTGCCACTGGCAAATTTCCAGCTCCTTCTTCCCGCTGCCTCATCATAGGCCTCTGTCGCCCCTCGGTGCGGCAGAGGGGACTTAGGCATGCCAGAGAGTCTTAAACGTGAGGAAATCCCCTCAAAGTCTTTCAGCGTGACATATAAGCAAGTGTAAAGTATCACAGTGCTGTGTGCATGAGTGCTACAAGGATGCAGAGTGAAAGGGTCCTCTTCGTCCGCTTGAACTGGAGTATGCTCTTAAAGAACAAGGGAGCGACGGAATGGAGGACATCTCATCCGGTGGAAGCAAAGCCATGGAGGTTGCGTGTAGCCGGGGCAAGATATGTATGTGTCTGCTTTCCTCTAGGTTCTCTGCTTTCCAAAGTGAGGTGAACTGAGATGCACGCCCTCTCCTCTGAAAGAGTAGTTCGTAGAGCTTGTCTTTGTTGACATTAGTCCTTCTTCCCGCTTTGCAGAGCACCTTTGGGTTTGTGTTGGGGATGCTAGCGATTTGTATCTATGTCTTGGTGATGGTTTCTCAGGTGGGTGCTAAGTAGGCTTTCTCTTTCCCTTTTGAAGTGAAGCCCTCTCCTTCCAAAAAGTTTCGGTCAGGCTCATCTTTCTCTCGGCGAGCAGGCCCCAGCGGCAACTCCTGCATTACTTACCAGACATCGGTCTCTGGGGAGCACAAGGCACAAGTGACAACCAAGGCGGAAGTGGAGCCAGGTCAGCGCCAGGGCTGGGGTTCCCATGTGATTGGGCACTCCCTCCCTTCCTTCTGAGCCCTATCTTACCTGCCTAGGACCTCTACTCCCTGTTCCTATTCAGGAAAAGCCAAGTTGCTACATTTTTTCCCCCTGTATTTCCCCCACCCCATTTTGTCTTCTTTTTTATTTATTGATTTTCTTCCCTTTTCTTTTTTCCAGGCGTCCACTTCGGTCGTCCTGATGTTTTACCTCAGACTCCACCTTTGGAGAAAATCAGTGAGGTCTCGACTATTCCTGACCCCTATTTCTCACCTGTAGTTGGAGAGACTTTGCAAATGCAAACTACAAGGTTGGTTCCTTGGCCCCTTTCTTCATATAATCTTTTCATCTCTCTCTCTTCAGGTCCTTGGGAACCTCCATAATTTTGTTTTTTTCAAGAGATCATTGTTTGTCTTTTGCTCTTCACTAGATTTTTCCAGGTTTACTTTCCTTTAGCTCATCTTTAGTGATTTGGAGAAGTGTGTCAACATCTCTGCATCTTTAGGGGGTGTGCAGACTATTTTGATAGTCAAAATACGCCCCAGCTAACCCTTTATCTCCTGGTGAGTTAGGTGAGAATTCTCAGCTTACTTTGTAAGCCTGGAAAGATTTCTGGGCAGTGAAGAAAATGAACAGTCAATCTTGTAAAAGGATCCATTCTAAAGATTGTGATTTAATTTTGTTACATGGTGTGTTGAGTATCTATTCCATCATAATAAATTAACCCAAAACTTAGTGGATTAAAATAACAAACACATATCATAGTTTCTGTGGGTCAGGAATGTGGGTACAGCTTAGCTGGGTCCTCTGGCTCAAGGTCTTTCATGAGGTGTTAGCCAGGGCCTCCCATCTCTTCTGAAGGTTCAGTTGAGAGGCTTCACTTCTAAGCTCATTTATATGCTTACTGGCAGGATTCAGTTCCTTGTGGGTTGCTGAACAGAGGGCCTTAGTTCCTTGCTGGCAGTTGGCTGGGGGCCTCCCTTCGTTCTTTGCCACATGAGCCTCTCCTTAGGACAACTCAAAACATCGCAACTGGCTTCCCTCGGAGTGAGCAATTGAGAGTGCATGCACCTATGCAGAATTCATAATCTTTTTGTGACCTAACCTCAGAATTGATATCCTATCACCAGTACTGCATTCTAGTCACTAGATTGAGCCCACACTCACAAAGAAGGGATTTCACAAAGGTGTGAATACCAGGATGCAGAACTCATTGGGAGCCACCTCAAAAGTGACCTATTTCACAGTCCATCTTCTGGCCCCCGATGATTCCTACCCCTCCCTCTGCGAAATGCATTCATTTGCTCCCATGGTCTTCAAAAGTCTCATCCCATTGCAGCAGCAGCTTAAATTCCAGAATTTTGTCATCTCAATTAGGTCTTGGTTTGGAGGAGCTCCCCAGGTATTATTCCGTGAGTACAGTTGCTCTCAGTCTTTGGACTTGTGAAACTAAAGAGAGCTGTTTTCTCCCTACACACCCAGCAGTGGTGAGGCAGTAAGTAGCTAATCACTGAACACAGTCCTGTGCAGAAAGAGTGAGGGAGGCACAGAGCTGTCACTGGTGCAGAGCTAGTCCCAAATCCAGCAACTGTTGGAGTCAGCAACTGTTGGGAAAAGCTTGGGAGTAATTCTCCATGACTCTCGACTCCACCCTTTGAACTCGTGGTTTTGCTTTCTGGGTCTTCCTTTTTCATGAAAGCTAGCATGTGTTTGCAGCTGAGTAGTTTACTCAGCCTGCTTCCTGCCAGTACAATTTTGGGGTCCAGCGGTTTCTTCATTTTCACTGTGTCTGTCCCTTTCAGTCTAAGCTGTGAATGTTTCTGCTGTTATAATGCCCTCACATATTTTGTGGGCCTCCCGTGAGTCTCACTGGAATTCATTCCCCTCGACAAAAGCCACACCCACAGATACCTTCTTCCTAAGCCCTGTGCTTCTTAGAGAACCTGTTAAGTTGAGAGGATCTGGGTGACATTAATCTTTTTTATTATTTATTTTTTATTTTTTATTTTTTATTCTTATGTTAATCCCCATACATGACATCATTAGTTTTAGATGTAGTGTTCCATGATTCATTGTTTGTGCATAACACATTAATCTTTTTGAATGGCCTTTTGTATGATCGAATAGTACTCTAAGGAACCAACTTTGATTTTTCGGAAGTCTTAAAAAAATATTTTACAGTCATAACTTGGCTTTGTCTCTAGAACACATTTTCCTGGCAGTGCCCAGGTTTTATGCTTGCTCACAAACGCTTTCTTAATTTTATAGCATTGTTTGCTATCTGCTGGAGGGGCTCAGAATTTTCAAAACCATCAAGTCCTGGCAAGTCCTTTTATTTAATAGTCTTCCCTTAATTTTTTTCTTCTCATTTTACTATAAGCATTAAGAAGGAACCAGGTGGCACCTTTAGCACTTTGTTTAGAATTCTCCTTAGGTAGGTCACCCAATTCGTTAGACACATATTTTGCTTTTCACTTAACTGCATATGACATTGTTGCAAAACTTTGTTCCACTGCATTACAGGGATCCCCTTTCCTTCAGTTTCCCGTAAGATTTTTCTCACTTGCCTTTGAGCCCACACTGGCAACTCCCTCATTCAAGTCTAAATTCTACAGTATATTCATGGCACTTCTAAACTTTCACTAAAATGCTGCTTAAAGCCCACTTCCCTCTTCCAAAGCCACTTCCACTTTTCAGTTTTTTATTGTTTTTTATTTTTTATTATTATTACTTTTTAAAGATTTTATTTATTTGAGAGAGAGAATGAGAGAGGGAGAGAGCACATGAGAGGGGGGAGGGTCAGAGGGAGAAGCAGACTCGCTGCTGAGCAGGGAGCCCGATGCAGGACTCAATCCCGGGACTCTAGGATCATGACCTGAGCCGAAGGCAGTCGCTTAACCAACTGAGCCACCCAGGCGCCCCCCACTTTTTAGTTTTTTAAAAAGTTCAGTAGCACTTTACTTCCAGGTACAAAAATTTATATTATTGTATAACAAATTACCCCCAGCGTGGCAGCTAAAAACTACAAACATTTATTATCTCAGATTTTATGTAGCTTAAATATCTAGGAGTGACTTAGCTGGGTGCCACTGGCTCAGGGTCTCTCAGGAGGTTACAGTGAAGTTGTTAGGGAAGTAGTCTCATCTGGAGGCTCGCCCCTGGGGAGGATCGACTTCCAAGCTCACTTATGTGGTTGTTGGCAAAATTCAGTTCCTTGCAGGCTGTTGGCCAGTGGTCCTCCCTCAGTTCCTTGTCACATGCTTTCTCCATGTGGCAGCTAGCTTCCCTCAGAGCAAACAGTTAGTGAGAGAGCTCGAGCCCAAGAAGAAGCTAGGTAGGGTCTTTTTTTTTTTTAAGATTTTTTTTTTAAATTTTATTTATTTGACATAGAGAGAGGGAACACAAGCAGGGGGAGTAGGAGAGGGAGCAGCAGGCTTCCTGCTGAGCAGGGAGCCCGATGTGGGGCTCGATCCCAGGACCCTGGGATAATGACCTGAGCTGAAGGCAGATGCTTAACCATCTGAGCCACCCAGGCACCCCTAGATAGGGTCTTTTTGTAACCTAATCTCAGAATTGATGTTCCATCACCTGGCCTGCATTCTGTCCTCTGGAAGACAGTCCTTAAATCCAGACTGCATTCAAGAGGAGAGAATTACACAATGGCACAAATATCAGGCAGCAGTGATCACTGAGTGCCTACCACACCTGGGAATTGAGGACAGAAGGGGAGGGTATTAGGAAATATTTTTGTAGTACTCAAGAAGCTAAATAGTTGGGCGCCTGGGTGGCTCAGTTGGTTAAGCGACTGCCTTCGGCTCAGGTCATGATCCTGGAGTCCCTGGATCGAGTCCCGCATCGGGCTCCCTGCTCGGCAGGGAGCCTGCTTCTGCCTCTGACCCTCCCCCCTCTCATGTGCTCTCTCTCTCTCATTCTCTCTGTCTCAAATAAATAAATAAAATCAAAAAAAGAAGAAGAAGAAGCAGCTAAATAGTTGATTAAATTAACTATTAATTAAAACAACATGCTTCTAAGTCTGGTAGTTTCTTAGCCTCTTCTTTCTGACAGAGAGAGACAGCGAGAGAGGGAACACAAGCAGGGGGAGTGGGAGAGGGAGAAGCAGGCCTCCCGCAGAGCAGGGATCCCGATGTGGGGCCTAGGACCCTGATACCATGACCTGAGCTGAAGGCAGACGCTTAACGACTGAGCCACGCAGGCGCCTCAGCCTCTTCTTTCTGAATCCTAAGTTGATCCCTGAAGTGAAATATGGGGAAGTAGTACGATATCTGACTTGAGAGGATTGTCCTTTCTCTTCTTTATCTTCTAATTCTTCTCTCTGCCTCCATTTTTTTTTCTCCTGTTAGTTCAACCCTCTTGGAAAAGCCTGAAGTTGCAGAGTCAGAGTTCACCCATGTGAGTGTCTGGGATGTGGGGGAGGTGAATGCTTTTATTTGAAGGGTATAAAGAGGATCACTGATGGAGTGGAACAGGGAGTTAATTTGCAAGGTTCGAGGGACTGGGTGCCCTTTTAATCTTGCCTTTTTAAATTTTGTGGGGACCTTGTACTTGGAAGCAGAGGATGAAGTAGAAGAAAACTTCACTGCCAGTCAGGCTGAAATAAACTTGAATTCTATTCCTGCCTCCTCATTTCATACTCCACATCCTTAATTTTGCACCCTTTCTCTTTTCCTTTCCAGTGAGCAAAAAAACTCGGAAGACCTGGAACAAGATTCTACCAGCTTGGTGATCCCAAGAAGCCAGCCCTTGCCCCAGCAATGCTGAGTTTTCTTCTTCGTGGTCATCACAAAAGGAGTATAATGGAGGCGAGGGGAGCTCTCAGTCTCCTTTCTGAAGAAGAACCTCTTCTCCTTCCCCTTCCTGACGAATGGGCATTGGTGCCTTGGACAGTTGAGGACAGCAGCATCTTCTCCACTTCTGAGTTAGGGGGCACGACTTTTCAAATGGCCAGCCTTGGCTTCCACAACGGAATTGTTTTCAAGCCCCCATTCTTCCTGCTGGAAGTGGGGTTGCTGGACTTGGTGGTTTTCTTCCTCTTCACCTACCTTTCACCGGGAGCTGGACTCTTAACTTCCTCAGGACAGACTGGCTGGCACATTATCTCCACCTTCGTGCTTTCTCTGGAAGAAGACCCTTGTAATCTTTGTAAAGGTTTTGGGGAGTCAGGGTGTTAAGCCAACTCCCACCTTCCTTTTTTTTCCTTAAAAAAAGGAAAAGAAAAACTAGCACACAGCACACAGTTTGAAGCCAGACAGTGTCAGATCAAAACTGCGTAAGTGTCGGGAGAGATGTCTGTTTGTGGGGTTCCCTCAGAAGAGCCCCCTGGTGTTTGAGAAATGGAACTATGGAACTGCTTTGCCAGGAGCAGCTCCTCTTTAACTCCTCTCTTGATGAATTTCTTAAGGCTGAAGGAGAGAGCGGGACATGGGGTAATCTTTACCCCTTTTGTTGAAAGAGTAGAGCAGTCATGGGACCAGAAGATCAGAGCCCTTGCTAGGCGGGATCCTGCTTACTGCCAGGTCATCACAATTATTACTGTTTTGCAATTGGAAATGTATTCTGCTTGTTTTTCTAAATATGAAGACTTAATCAAATGAATTTGGATCCTTCTCAAAGGGAGGTTTCTTCCTTGCTCTTCCCACTTTTTCCGACAGCGTTGGAAGAAGGAGCTGAGGTGCAGAGGGGACACCTGTGTCCATTTAACAGGCAATCTGTATCTATGAGGCTAGAGAATATTCGCTTAGACTCACGGGGAGCCAGCAGATTCTTGCCTAGGTGAAATCATTGCTGTGCCACATGCCCTGCTCCCTCTCATGCAGAGAACTCAGAAATGGGAGCTGTGTAATCCGTCTGTCCCCCGTCTCCCAAGAGTTGCAGTCCCCCACTTGATCCTCCTTCTGTCTGGGGACTAAGGAGGCATCTCAGGCAGATTGTTGAATACTGTCCCGTCTCCATCCCGCCCGACCTTGATAGTAGGTTAGCCCGTCCCCCAAGTAACTGTCTATATTAGACACCCCCAGCCAGTTTCTGGCTGCCTGTCTTTGCTGCCATGTTCTTTTTTACAAGAAGGAAAGAAACAAGTCTTGCTATTTTTTTTTCATAATTTACTATTTATGATGTATTTAAGTGTTTTATTCAGGACAGAGTTCTGTAGGGAGTGGGAGGGAATATTTGAGGGAGGCTGGGTCTTAGGGAAGGGAATGGGGGGGAATCAACATTTTTATGAAGTGTCACTATTTGCCTCCACTTTGTATTGTTCAGCAATGGCAAATGCAATATAAAAGTGATAAATATCTGGTTTTAATGTATTAAACTTTCATCAGTTATTTAGACCTCTTGTTTCTTCCTAATTCTTTTTCATACACCATCTGCTCCACCCTCCTGCCTCAGTTCGGGCTCAGTGTTGTTTGCGGTGCCCTGAGCAAATGCGTCCTCGCCAGCTGCCTTCAGTCTGGTGCAGGCCGGTGCTGGCTTCATTCCCTACCTTCCAGGCACCTCTCCACTTGAACAACTTCAACTTGACAAGGAAAAGCCATGAATGGATATAAAGACAATTACTGTAGGTCTGTTGCCTAAATGGCAACCTACTTTAACTGACGGATCTGGGAATCCAAAGCTCAAAGTCTTCCTCAAGTTCAGGAGGAGAGGAGGAGGGACCAAGCAAGCCTGAGATCATTTGGCCTTTGGATTCCCTCTTTCCTTCCCCTGACCTGGTGCTAAGGTGTCACTTAGAAGCCCACAGAGACTGCTTCCCTCAATTCTGTTTTCCTCTTCTGTGAGGTGGAGCTTAGTTATTAGTTAGGCTTTTTTACTGTGATAGGAAACTAGTCCAAAGAGGGGGTGCTTGTTCTAAGGTATGCGGGTAGGGAAGTTTGGAGAGAAGCAAGTTAACTAGTGTTCTTTCCACAGCACTATTCCTTATCTTGTTAAGATCATTCTACAAATATTTATGCAGCAACTAATGAGCAATTCACTGGGTAAGTTGGAGGTCAAAAAAGTAATTGACCTTCAAGAGTTTACAGGAAGAGCACATACATACTTGTGTGTACACAAAAACAACATTTTAGATGGATTATAGATAAGGATACCAGTTCTCTGAGAGAATGGTACAGAATATATTAGGTGGAAGAAAATTTAGAGGTTACTGTGGACTAGAAGTGTTGGAGAAAGTTGCACATGAACCCAAGGGCCTAGAGGTACGAGAAGGGTCCTTGTTTTGGAGAACGAGGAAAAGCCCACAGTGGAAGCAATGGTGGAGGACAGCTGAGTGAGAATCTTGGAGTAGGTATAGGTGGAGGCCACACAGGAAACCCTGATTGCTAAGCTGAGAAATTTTTTAAGATTTTATTTGAGATAGCATGAGCATGATGAGGGTGGGCAGAGGGAGAGGGAGAAGCCAACTTCCCACTGAGCAGGAAGCCTGACCTGGGGCTCGATCCCAAGACTCTGGGATCATGACCTGAGCCGAAGGCAGATGTTTAACCAACTGAGCCACCCAGGTGCCCCTAGCTGAGGAATTTTGTATTTTAAACTAGGTAGTGAGGGGGCACCTGGGTGGCTCAGTTGGTTAAGCGACTGCCTTCGGCTCAGGTCATGAT